CCAGAGGGCGACAGGGGACAGGCTGTGCGGGAAACGGGGTCCGACGGAGGCAGCTCGGCATGGACTGCCAGGAGGAGGCTGCGAGAAGATGCAAGGGCAGCCCACAGGCTGGCCGACGGGAGCAGGAGGGGTGAACACAGCAAGAGGGGTGAGAGAGAGATTAAGGATCCAAATTAGCGGTGGTATGAAACTAATGGCTCCTGACTTAACATCTTTGCAAGTAATGAAAAAACATGAACTAGAAAGAAAAGACAGGCCAAATATTTACTGATGAAAGGCAAAATGAGAAAACATTTGAAGAGGACGCATCACGCGAGTGCCCGGAGGTGGTGACTCCCTGGAGATTAACCTTCTGGAGCCACAGAGTCAGCCATGGGGACAATGCCAAAGAGGGCAGACCCGTCATCCCCAGACCCCCCCAGGAAGCCGAGACCAGATAAGGAGCAGCAAGGCCGAGGCTGTAGCGTGGCCAGCCCTCATGGTGTGTCCCCAGCCTTAGTCCGTTTGCGTCACTAACAGACACCTGTGCCCGGGCTCCTGTGTCAGGAAGACACCGGCTCACTTACACACTCAGCTCCGGGGCCGGGAGTGCAAGGTCCCAGGCCCACAGCAGGGCTGGGGGAGCACAGGGGCCGGCCCGGCGCAGAGGTGGGGGAGGGCTGCTGACCGCCTTCCAACAGCCGGCCGACACGGGAACCGGCCCCTCTCAGGAGCACCGGGACGTGCGGGGTCCGGCCGGGCATCCTTACTCTGTGCACGGACCGCTGCCTCCAGGGGGCAGCACCACGAGGCCTCACTGGGCACCGCGGACACACTCCATGTCAAGTCCTATCTCTACGTCAGCACAGCTCAACACGTGAACTGGGGGACACGTTCACACCACGGCAACATGGGGACACATGCCACACCCCAAACCCTGAGGATGCCCGAGTCAGCATGGAAGCCCTCCACCCACGCCCAGGGCTGTTGGCACAGTGGAAATTCCTGAAGTGACACCCTGGAGGGGCCACAGGAGCCCCTTCCCATCGGCCAAACCTGCGGCAGCAAAGCCCAGGAGATGCCGAGGGGCTCCCATGAGGCCGAGAAGGCCCAGCCCGGCTCCCACGAGGTCTCAGAAGGCACGCACACTGCTCACAGCACCCACAACCCACACCCCCACCCCGCCCCTCCATAACAGCGTCGCCAGTTCTCGGACCATGGCCAGAGCTGCAAACTGAGCTCCAGCTGGTACTGAAGCGCTGGGTGGAGGGCTGCACCCACAGCCCCATTTCCTTAACTGCATGGCCAATCCATTCCACGGTGGGGGAAACTGAGGCTCACAGAGACTGAACAGCTTGCCCGTCCACACATGCACTGCAAGGTGAGGCAAGGTGGGCCCTGCAGGCTCTCAGGCCAGCAGCCAGCCAGGTGGCTCCTGCTGTTTCCCAGATCAACACAGCCCTGAAGGAGGATTTCAACAGATCATATACACCTGGGGCCAGGACAGCACTCCCCGAAGAGGTGGCCCAAAGCCTCAGGGATCTGGGGTGTGTGTTCAGAGCCCCTGAGGCGACTGCTTTGGAAAGGGCTTCGCCTCTGTACCTGTGCGGGTCTTCAGTTCAGGGGAGTGCCCCGAGGCTCGAAGGGCAGGCAGGGCTGCAGGAAGCTGCTCAGCAGGGCTGAGGGAGGGGAGAGCCCAGCCAGCCAGAGGCCCCGATATGGAGTCCCAGTCCAGAGAGGACGCCCTGTGGGCAGTCAGCCCTTCCCCGTGCCTCACAGCGCCCTGGGCCCTCTGCTGCAGATGCCCCCATGGGGGTCAGACCAGGGGCCCAAATCCACGAGTCCCTGGAGACACATGGAGATGCTGACCTCACACCAGACAGGGCCCGCCGCCACTCTGAGACGGCAAGTGCCCCGGCCCACCAACTCTTCAAGGCACACACAGGCTGCTGGGCCCCAAGGCAGACACTCCCACCCAGGGCCTCGAGCTGTGCAGCAGAAGCGCCCTTCACAGACCCACAGCCGGCACCCCGGGCAGCCCTGGCTTCTTCCCGGGGAGGGGCATACGAGGGTACGGACTGAGACCCCATGTAGGCCCAGCCCCACACTCCGGGGCCCAGCAGGGATAGCGAGAACGCCCAGCAACTGCACTGTCCCCTGGAGCGGGGGCTTGGACGTTCCAGGCTCTGGTTCCGCCATCCCACTGCCGGTGCGAGCTCTCGCTCCATCCCCAAACACAAGTTGGCAGCCACTCGGCAGCCACCAGGGCCACGGACAAGCTGCACTGGGAGCCTGTGACGTGCACTGGCAGATCACCAGTGACTTAATCAGCCCGAACAGCTGAGGACAGGGCGGAGAGCCATGGCCCACGGTCCGCTACTTCTTTTATTCCACCTTCAAGGAACAGCACGAGGGTCACAACCAGCAGGAGTAGAGAACAGATGCCCACGCCCACGCCGGGTCCTCGGCTTCCCCGTGGCAGAGGGGCCAGAGTGCCACGCACCCCCCACCACCCACCACCCACCTCCGGTCCCACGTACTCGAGCCTTGTCTTCTTCCTCTCCCCTTGAAAAGTCAGGCAGGGTGCATGTCGGGCTGAGCTGGGTGCTGGGGACGTGCCTGCGTCTGCCCGGGTATAAACAACTGACCGCCTGATGGTCAGGGGAGTTTAATTAGCTGGTGTTCTCCTGATAGAATCAGCCCGCACTGCCGGAACGTTTCACTCCAAATCAGCCCGAAAGGGGCCGACAAGGCGAGGCTGGCTTTATACACAGACTCCCCGCGGCTTCTGAAAAGACACAGCAGTGCAGACGCCACCTGGCCGCATTGCCCCTCCACGGCTGGGGGCGCAGGGGCAGGTGGAGAGCAGGAAGGGGGGGCCAGAGCCCTCCTTCGCCCACTCACAGCTCCTCCCAGACACTGGGTAAAAGGAGTAAACGGGTCCAGGCCCCACACTAGTCCCGGGGCGGGGCAGGCGCCCACAGGGCCGAGCTGGTCTGGGTTTCTTCCCTTGCAGAACACAGCCCTGCTGGACGCCAGCCTCCCACCTGCCTGGGAAATCGCGGCTCAGATTGAAACCTGGAGCCAGGGCCGGTGCCAACCAGCGCTCGCCCACGGCCTCCGCCTGGCCCAGCGTGGCAGGAGACAGTGGGCGGGACGAGGGACCACGTTTGTCCCGAAGTCCCCTTCAGGAACATCTGCAGTGAAGCAGATCTTGGGAAACAAGCCATCGGGGTTGATAGCCCACACCACCAGGACAAAAAGATGTTTAAAAACGTGGGCAGCGTAGCCAATGGGTCCTTGAAAAGAAATCAGAAATCTCCGAGGAATGTTCGGTGAGCAGAGGAGGAACAGGCGGGAGGCTGACTCATCCAAGGAGCAGACTGCGCCTTCAGAATCAGCAGCCAGAGGCCGGAGGTGAGCACTGTGCTCCTGCTGCAAGGCTAGTGGGATTCCCGTGCCCATGGCCCTGCACCCGGGCAGTTGAAAACCAAGGCAGTCACTTCTCAGTGCGTTTATCTCTGGCCTCCGGCACACGCTCCACGGCATGATTTAAGGGCGTGCCCATCTCACCACAACCTCCCCAGCATTGCAGGTTAGCATTATTTAAGGTTTTGCTAATGGCATGGAAAAACAGGGTGTCACGTGGTGAAAACTAAATGAGCTCATTACTAGTGAGGTTAATTTCCTTTCCCCACTCAAGAAAATAAAACTGTCCTGCACTGCTGTTTTCCCTTTCGGGTGGGGGCACTTTTCCCTTTGTGTTAAACCAGTTCATTCTCCAGCGTGTTGTCTGGATCCCCTGCTGGCCTGGAATTTAGGTCAGAGCTGCTGGGGTCTTTACTAATAGCTGTCCCTGTCACAGAGCTGGCATTGACATACTCGGTGGGCAAAGCAGAGGGCGGGGCAGAGGAGGCTCTCCCAGAGCACTCTCCACACGGGGAGGGAGCCTGGATGACACGTGAGCGGGGAACACCCGATCCCCGGTGTGTTCCACTCCTTCAGCTCCCTGCCACAACTCAGCCCCAAAGCAGATGGGCTAAGACGTCCTCAGGGAGGTCAGTGGGGCCCGAGGTCAGGCGGCTCAGCAAGGGCAATGTTCAAGCCAGGCGGTCGGCTCCCCCACCCCACCCTGTGCCAGCCTTTCCACGTCCAGACCCCTGGCCCCCCGCTAGCTGGCTGGTCAACATCCTTGTGTGTACTCACTCAGCCACCCTCCCAGTCCGGAGCCCTGGCCCCCTGGCTAGCTGGCTCATCAATGTCCTCATGTGTACTCACTCAGCCACCCTCCCTGTCCAGACCCCTGGCCCCCTGGCTAGCTGGCTCATCAATGTCCTCATGTGTACTCGCTCAGCCACCCTCCCTGTGCCCGCTGGGTGGGACGGCAGAGACATGGCCGCCATCCTCAGAAATACCCGAATGTGCTATTGGCTGGAGGAAAGCAGCCCATGGGTGCGGTGGGAGCTGCCAGTCTGCCCAGTGCCAACAAAACTGAGGGACAACCACAGGCAGATTCGCCCTTCGAACAATCGGGAACATGAGTGAGCCAGCTGCTAACGTGTGACCGCTCACGTGGCATGCTCGCTCCTAAGGCCGACCGCGGCTGGCCAGGCACGCGGCTGGCGGGGCTATGGGTGTACGGTAACGAGGGAGGTGTGTTCCCGGGGCCTCAGCAGAGTGCTTCTGGAGCCCTAAGAACATGTGCATGCCTTGACCCAGGAATTCTCCTTCCAGGAACCGATCCTGTCGGGGGAAGCGGAGGCGAGTCACGGAGCATTTATAACGGGACGGAAACCACCCGAACAGCTGACAGCACAGGAGGGACACCCACACGGGGCCAGTCGGGGACAATGAAGGCCCCGTGTGGCTGCATGCAAGAGTGATGCGGGTGACCTCAGGAGAGGGCGGGACACAGACTACCCACAAGCCTCATTCCGTCACACTGGGGGTGTGTCTTCTTCGAAAACTCATGGGAAACGTCCCAAAATGGAAAAGTAGTGTCTCTGGCTAGGAAGAATAGGTTACGGCTGCTATTCTTCCTAGCTTTATTTTTGTGTGTGTGCTTTTGCTACATTTTACAAAGAGAAAAAACCAAAACTTTTTATAATCCCAAAAAGTTTTTCTTAAGTTGCAAAGATTAACTGTGACTTGTGTTTGTGTTTGTCTAGGGGATTCATTCTGGAGCCCTATTGGCTATTCGGAGTCCCTTTTTAAACAGGGCATAAAGATCTCTGAACACAGAACCTCGAGCCTCCTCCTTCCTCCTGAAAGCAGACTTCGGCAATGCGACCTCAGACCACACTAAGTTCACCGCTCCCTCACCGCGGGCTCCGGCGGCGGCTCGCCAAGTGTTCCGTGTGCCACCACCTTGCCCAGCCCGCCCACCTCCTAGCCAGCTCACCCACCACAGGCTTCAAGAGTTTGTCTGTTTACACCCGAATAAAGTATTTTCAATTTATTCCAACTAAATTATACCTTGCTACATCCAACCTATCACTCTGCGTGCTGAGATACACTTAGATCCCAAGTCTGCCTATGAAACACACGCCATTCCTCCGGTTTCGCGTCACCCCCGGGTTTAATCACTCTGCCACCTGTGTCCCCCTTCAGCAGCGAGCAGGCAGAGGTGGAGGTGGAGCCTGTGGCGCATCCCCAGACACCTGCCCTCTGTGTGTCGTCTTCGTGTCACTCGGCGTCCGTGTGTCATACTCCCGGCCACGAGTGGCGAGTGAGCCCTTTCCGATGAGGATCCCCCGAGAGGCTGCCGTGGCCGTCTAAGCCTCGCTGCAGTGCCGGACCTCCACCCGCCCTTGCAGGACGTGGCCGCAGAGTTGCCTCAGGAGCACAGGCGTGCACACGACCCACTGGGTTTTCAAGCTGCCGGGGCCAGGATTCAAACCGTGGTCAACCACATGGGAGACAGGTCCCTTTAACCACTAGGCGCGGGCCGGACCACTGCACTTCGCCACACTTGTCCATACCTCACCCTTCTTTAGAAAACGAGGCCGCTCCGTGTCCCTGCCTCGCAGGCCTGTCTGCAGGACTGACATGGGTCTCAATGGCATCCTCGCGGGGACTCGAGCTCCGGCTCCTGCCCAGGGGAGGCCGCCCACGTCAGGACAGTAAAGAAAACCTTCTTCCCTTCCAATTCCACAAACTCGGAATTCTGAAATCAATTTGCAACTCACATGGAGGCGCTTTCCTGCCCTTGCCCCCGAGGCTCGGGGCTCAGCATACAGCAGAAGAGCCCTGGAAGGCCGCCTGGTGCCCCCCAAACAGCGCCCTCCGGAACCAGGACCAGCCTTCTCCTCACCCCTGCCAGCGCCCAACATGAGTGGCACACCTGGGGAGGGGACCTTTCTGGTCTCAGGAGCAAGCAATGAAGGCCCTGACATGACACTGCATGCTCGCCTACAGGGGAGCCCGTGCTAAGACACCCACGGCTTCCCTGCTGGCCCTCCCTGCAAAGGCTGGCGTGGCCTCTGTCTCCGGCTGTGGCTGCCCGCCCACTCTCGATGCCCTCC